AGGACTGTCTAGTCTTCCACTTATTCCCTCCCACGCTGGAGATTTATTATACGCTTTAAACATACAACATAATCTTGCATTCTTCCTGCGGGTACTTCATGATTCGAAATGTGTTTGTGTGTCACGTTCCCTTGCAAATCCTCTATTTATGAATTTCACTGCCTCTTTTTGGATCCTTTCTAATTCTTTTATTTGACCTATACTATACGGATCCCAACGAGCTGACGAGTATTCAAGAGTTGGCCTAACTAAAGATGTGTAAGCCAATTTTCTACTTTCCACGTTACCTTTCTTTAAAATTCTCTTGACAAAATGAAACGACTTCCAAGCTTTTCTTACTAGATAATTTATGTGTTCCCCCATCCTAAGTCGCTACGCAAATTAATTTCTAAGTATTTACAGCTGATTACCTCGGGGATCAATGTGCCGTTCATAGAATAATTTAAGGGGTTCTTACGTATAGATTTTGTGAAACTGATAGTCTTACTTTTGTCGGCATTTATTTCCATTTTGTTTGATGCATCTGTCCGTTTTTCGCGGGTTCCAAGTGCGTCAGCGAAATCTTGACATGTTAGAAATAGTTTGGCTGCTCGCATGAAAATGATTTACGAAACCCATGTTGGCTCCTATACAAGCCATCCAATTTGCCATTCATTTCGGCATGTACTCAGCTATGAGATGCGCATTTGCTTACAAATGACAGGAAAGTTAAACTCGTACAGGTCTATAGTTAAAGACGCAAGTGCGATTTCCAGCTTTTAAAAATCGGGCACCACAAATAGATCTTTTCCAATCACGAAGGAATGCTACAATTGTTGACATGATGTTCAAATAGTTCGTGTCAAAGTATGTGTAACAATGTTGGTCGCCCCCTATTTTTAATAGTTCTCCTGAAATGCCATCGAAACTAACTGATTTGTCATTCCTATTGCTTTGTAATCCGCTTGCGGAATAATCCTTTACTGTACATGAAACCTCTCGGCTCGTTAGCCAGTAACTTCCGAATGACTACCGCTTCCCCCAAAACTTGATTGAAAATTACAATTATAAAACATTCTGCTTTTTTCCTGATCTGTCACACAACTTTATTTTTAT